AAATAAACAAACTAGCTAACTAGGCAAGTAGCTAACTAACTAACATCTATTATTTACAGCAGGCATGGGCAGACTTGAAGTTTGATTTCATTTTCATTTTCTTCATTTTTATTTTTATTTTGGAAAGAACCTTGAAGTCCACCACCCAGAGCCAGGTGCAAAATAATGGCCCAGGAATCGGACCAAAAACTGAGTAATAATTTCAGCCTGTGAGTACATGTTTACCCCAAGATTTTGATTTTGGTACCAGAACTATTGCTTACATAGACTTTCCTGTTTTCCCTCATGTTTGCCTGATTTTAACCGTCTCATTTATGAAGAAAAAGGATTTTTTTTCATTATCATTAAACCAATAAGCTGGAAGTCCTTGCTGCAAACTATCTATCAGATTTGTTGATTATGTTTCTATATAGATCCCAGTTTAGTGATCCATTAGATTTGTTGATTATGTTTCTATGTAGATTCTGGTCTACCTTATGCCTTCCTGCACTAGAATATAAGCTGATTCAAGTCACCAGAGTTAAAAGTGATCAATCTTAAAAAATGAGCTTTACAGAGGATTCTTCTGTCCAGACAGAGCACTGAACAATGGCTGACCAAAATTTCCCTTCCATTTCTGTATTGTCCTAAAACTAATTCTAATAAAGAACACTATCAAACTCACCTTCCACACAAGACATGTTCTCTCTGTGTCATGAGTTTGGTTACCCTTCTTCACACATTCAAAGCCACAGACCTTTATTGCAAAATGTTCTTTATTGTCCAAAATGTTTTGCAGAAGCACAAACACCCAGTATGTATCTCTGAGCATGCACAGAGTTTTTTTTAAAACCCAAACTAGTGTTTTCTTGTAAGAACTCTCCTTATGAGCATGTTTGAGCCCCATCCTTTTGGGAGGGGCCTTTTGGAAATGAGCATGCCTCCTCTCTGCACATCCATCCTCTAATTGGGCCACCCTCCTCCCCAATGTTGCATCATCGCGTCAAGATCCATACCCACCTTGTCTATCTCTGAACAACTTCCCTGTTCCAAGCGCCCTCCCAATAACTGTGCATTTTGGTTACTCTCAAAGGCCATCTGACCACCTGGGGAGTCTTGCGTGAGATAAATGCCTCCACTTCTTTCATCTCGCCATCTGGAACTGGCCCACATTCCCCCCCCCCCGCATTCTAATCAGCAGGCCTTGAGAATGCACGCCAGGAGCAATGGTCTTCCTCACTCCCAATGCCCATTCCTAGAATATGTTAATACTCTACCTATTCTAACATAGGCCACTTAGATAGGTGTCCCATCTATCTTTAGTTAGCTAGTGCTTTAGATCTGCTAAGGTTTCTTAAGGTTCTTAATATGTAATTTTCATAACTCCTAAGTTATACTTAACCATATTTTACTCATTACTGTAAAACTTAGAGATGAGACAGAATAAAGGAGGTTCCTTTTTCTCCTTCTGACCAGAATCAAGCAGTATCTCGTCCTATCCTGGCTTATCCTATCCTGCCACGGTGCCTCCGCTCCTTCTGTTCTGCCCACAGGACCAACAACACAGGAAGAGGGCAGTGCTAGATAATGGCCATGGAGTTTAAAAGAAAACGAACAAGCCAACAATGTGGATGTGACAGCTCAGTTGCACAAAATATGCTGATTATTCAGGGCCATCTGGTGGTGAAATACTAGCATTAATCTGATGCACCAAGAAAGAGATCCCTTAAGTCTGGTTCTGGGAGAACAATTCTTCTGTTCTACAGATAGAGATAACTATTCAGATACTGTGTTAGATATTTAGTTATGCTTAGAGTGGACCCAGTAAAATCAATGGGATTTAAGGTAGTCACTCTAAATATAATGTATGGAGAAAAAAAGAAAGAATAATTATAATTGGATGGCAGAAGAAACACAGTTCCTAATGGCAGGTGAGAAGCAAGTGATGGAAATAGGATCAGAATCCTAGAAGCAACTTTTCAGTGATTATCACTTAGAAACAAAAAGAACTATTATCTTGACTACTTCAAAGAAATAGAACAATAGAAGATGTGAGTAATTCAAGTGAATTTAAACCTAAATTAGGAATGCTGAAAGACCAATGGGAAACTTACTATCCAAACAAGATAAAATATGTCATCTGAACAAGCTAAAATATGGAGAGGATGGAAAAATATACAAACAGATGAAAAGCTGAAAGACTCCTCTGCAAAGGAACCCTATAAGGAAGAACCTGCAATATTAAGTGAAAGTTGCTCTGAAAGCACTTGGAAAAAATTAAGCACCCAGAGTCGACAGGATACCAATAGCCACAGAGACTGAATCAGTCCAAATCCTAAAAATAATATACCAACAAATATGGAAAGCTAAATGATGGCTCATAGAATGGAAATGTTCAACGTACATTCTAATCCACCCAGCCCCTAAAAAGGAGATGCAAAGGAATGCAACAACAATAAGATTGTGGCACTAATTTTCCACACAAGTAAAGTGATGATCAAGGTGTTGCAACAAAGAACACACTCTCATCTGGAGTGACAGAAGCACAATTCCGGATTTCTCAAGCTGGGTTCTGAAAAGAAAGAGGCACTCAAGATCATATTGCAAGAATATGTTGGCTACTGGAGCACACCCAAGAATTTTAAAAGCAGAGCAGCATCTCTGCTTTACATACTACAGCAAAATATTTGACAGCATGGATCACAAGATGCAGCAGGTGGTTCTGAAAAGAATTGGGTTGCCTCAGCATCTGACTGTCCTGATTTGTAACCTGTTTCATGGGCAAGAAACTACTGCTGGAACAGAGTATGAAGAAACAGAAGGATTTCCTAAAGGCATCAGAAAAGGGCATCAGACGCATCAGAAAAAAGCATACTTTATCTCCCTATCTGTTCAATCTGTATGGAGAATATATAATAAGGAACGAAGAACTGGAATCATAGGGAGGAGGAGTGAAATTTGGCAGAAGATACAACAATAATTTAAAATATGCAGATGATACCATCTTACTGGCAGAAAGCAGCAATGAATTGGAATGACTCTTGATGAAAGACGAAGGTACAAAAGCAAGACTGCAGCTGAACATTAAGAAAACAATAATCATGACTACAGAATAATTACTCATTTTAATGTGAATAAAGAGACTGAAATTATGAAAGATTTTGCATATTTTGGCTCAGTCATCAATTCAGACGGAGACTACAGCCAAGAAATTCAAGAGACCTGGAAGGGCAGCAATTAAGGAACTAGAAAAGACCATTAAGTATAATGGTGTTTCACTGGAAATCAAAGCCAAGTTCATCCACACTATTGTATTCCCAATAATTACATATGGGTGTGAAAGCAGGATGGTAAAGAAAGCTGACAGAAAGAAAAGTGATTATTTATTTATTTATTTATTTTTCGGTTTATATCCTGCCTTTTTCCTACAAAGGGCTCAAGGCAGCTTACACCTCCTCCTCCATCTTATCCCCACAAAAACAACCCTGTGAGGTAGGTTGGGCTGAGTGTCTATGACTGGCCCAAAGTCACCCAGTTGGCTCCATGGCTGAGCGGGGACTAGCTCTATTTCATACAGGAAGTCACAGCATTGATTTTATAAGAACTGAGTAGGGGTGTCAAGGATATAATATTTTGGAGGGCATTCATTCATAACTCTAATTTGGAGATGATTTGATGACATGTAATAACTATAATAGAGGCAAACCAAGGACTGCATTTTGATAAACCTGCACTAGTATCTGTTACTGAGTCCTGACAAGGATAAAACTATGGGAACAAGTCACCTGTCCTTTTCGCCACATTATACCGCAAATGCTATGGCATCTCTGCGATAATGCTGTAGGAGCTGTGGCAGAAGTATAATTTGGGTCCTAAGAGTCCCAATTTTAAAAAATCAAAGTATTTACATGTAATGCTGAAAACTGCAGGACTCAAATGAAGCAGAAGCAAAGATGTTGGAGGACAAGCAGCTTAGAACTCGTAACGGCAACACAAATCTCCTCTTAGCCCACCTACATGGTAAATGGCTCTCACTCCAAAACCAATGGAAACACTTCCTGACCTTCTGATCATGCAACAAGGTAATAAAATGGAAGTAACTATGACTTGTCACTAGGAAAGCAGCTGCAAGACTGAAGCAGCTATTCCATAGTTTTAAGAGCCAGGTGAAGCGGTATCTCCAAGCCTACAAATTCACCTGCAATAGTTTGATCCAAGTAGTTGTTGTCTAGGTGGTTCTTGAGATTAACAGGTGCAAAGCAACACTATTTTTATCAGACCAACCTCTATCTCTTACTTGGGATATAGAAAAATATCTTTTGCAACAGAAAAGGCCTGGTATAGTATGATATAACAGAGTGCTGGAAAGGGAATCCATCAACTTATTGGATGATTTTGCCCAGTCACCAATTTTCTGCCTAACTCACCTCATAGCATTGTTGAGGATACAATGGAAAGAAGGAAGATCATGTATGGAATCTTGGCTCTTTGTGGAGTAAAGGGGAGATATAAATGTAACAAAATAAAAGCCTGAACCCACTTACACTGAACAGAAACAGATATAGTGGGTTACTAGGGCAAAAGCCTGATGTATTTCTGTACTGCCACCACTAGAAGAAGCAAAGCTGAACAGCATCATCACTTCTGATCTCTAGCAAATTATGTGTTCTTTCAAATACAGAAATTACAGTAGATTAATGAAAAAGAAATATAAGCAAAACTTGTTACATAGCACTAGGGACAGCCACAGAAAACTCTGAAACACTATAGAAGGGATCAGATACTCTATTTGCATAAAAATTTAAGTACTTCATTTTTGTATTTGACCAATACTCAGTATACACATTAACTGCAAACAGAAGCATACAAAATACAGTCTATGTAGTTCTTACCAGTCTTAAAAACGGTAAGCTAGAGCTCAAAGCAGATTTTACTGAAAGCTACTGCATTTCACAAAGATCTTGATTTAAAAAACATGCACATTTCAAATAACATCTTTCAACACAAAGAAAGCATTTTACCTTTAAATAAGATCCATAATATTTGGTAACATATGGACTGTCACACTGACTCAGCACTGTGATTTCCTGTTGGATGTCTTCTATTTCATCTTCAGCTTCTTCAAGGTCAATAATTTTTATAGCAACAACTTTTTGAGTTCGATTGTCAATCCCTTTAAAAACTTCACCAAAGGAACCTTTGCCAATCTTCTCTAGTTTTGTAAAGAGTTCTTCTGGATCTGCTTTCAGATTCTGGCAGAAATGCAGAACAGAAAATACAAGGTGATGATGATGATGATGATCTTTTAATTTACATGGCAGTTCACAGTTTATTACAGGTTAACAGTTTTTAGATCACCAATTTATTTCAAATGGAGATGGGGAAGCAGATTCTGTGCGCCATTTGCAATGACTTCTCCCAATGCCATTTGGCAATGTTCCCCTTTCTTTGAAAGCAAGAAACCGACCCCTGGAGTGAGCCAAAGTGCCATAAACCCTAAATCCAGATAATGTACCATGATAACCCAAGTTCTGTGCCAAATAATCCTGTAATCAATTACTTAAATTATGAATTGAATGTTATAATTGTAGGACTGCAGAATTCAAATTCTACAAGCAAGAAAAATATTTAGTAAAGTTCGGAATACAACAAGCCAGAAAGAGGGGCCAGTGTCTGATAAGAAGAAAAGAATGAGATGCAGGCAAAAAACCTTTCGGCCATTGCAGTTCTCTCCAATGAGCGAACTTTAAACATAAACTATGAAATTATTTTCAACCTTTGTTCTACAACCATAGAAGCAATTATCTTGATTCCACTTTTAATACGCAACTAAGATTATTGAAAACAATATTCTGTGTAGCCACGTGGATTCCACATAGCACAAAAGGCACAGGCCATGATCTGTTCTCTAAAATATTCCACATTCAATGACATGTGGAAGAGGCATCATACTTCCCCCACCCCCCATCAAGATGTCATCTGAAACCAATGATACCTTTAGACCTGCACTTGTGGAGGGTTACAGATGTTCAAATTCATAATTTAGAAGCTGCTACGCCTTGCACTACAACCCTTGGCTTTCTGCTGCTCAATTAATCTTTATGACTTAGGCATGTGAAGGCTCTTTGAGTAGAAGGTTACATTCTGTCTTAGAGAATTCAGGGGCAGCACTTGGGGTGAGATAGGCTGAAGGAAAAAGGGGACGGCAAAAAAACAAAAACACCACAAGACACTAGTGCAGTGATGGCGAATCTTTTAGAGACGGAGTGCCCAAACTGCAACCCAAAACTCACTTATTTATCGCAAAGTCCCAACACGACAATAAAACAGTTTTTAGATTAAAAAACCTCACAGCCAGTCCAAGCAAATATATATCTATCCTTGGCAGCGCACTGACCAGCCATGCGAAAGCCCGGATGAGCAGCAGCTAGTAAGTCATAGCTCGTAAAGGCATCGCCTGGAGCTACTGCTCGCTTCCGAAAATGCGCATAGCCCCTATGAACGCTGTTATCTGGTGCACACCTGCTGGGGTGATGCAGGGGTGACTGAGCTAGCGTGTTGACAGAAAGGGCTCTTCATGCCCGCTGTAGCACGCCTGCCATAGGTTCACGACCACTGCTCTAACCCTAGCCTGGTGCAATACTCTAACCCTAATATAGGACAAAGGTTACATTGAAAATAAGGCAACTTTGAAAAAGCCTTCCTTAAGTAGCTGTTTCGGCACAGCTCAACACTTCTGCCCCTTCTAAACACAGTCTAACCATTAAAATCTTACGAGGACACCTCATGTTTCTAACCCTAACCCTACCCTGATCCACACCCCAATCGTAATACAGGGCTACAGTTCCATTGAAAAGAGGATGATTTTGAAAAACCCTTCCTTGAGCTGCTTTTTCTGCACAGCTCATCATTTCTGTCCATTGAAAACACATTCCACCCATCAAAACAATGCCAGCACACCTCGTTTTCTAACCCGAACCCTAATATAGGGCTACACTTCCATTGAAAACAAGATGATTTTGAAATAGCCTTCCTTGAGTTGCTTTTTCTGCACAGCTCATCATTTCTGCCCATTGAAAAGACATTCCCACCATCAAAACAACGCCATGACACCTCGTTTTTCTATCCCCCCACCCTACCCTGGTGCACACCCCTAACCCAGATATAGGACTATACTTCCATTGAACAGAGGGCGATTTTGAAAAAGCCCTCCTTGAGTAGCTTTTTCTGCACAGCTCATCATTTATGCCAAATCAAAACACATTCGAACCATCAAAACAATGCCAGGACACTTCATTTTTCTAACCCTAACCTTACCCTGGTGCACACCCCTAACCCTAATATAGGGCCACAACTCCATTGAAAAGAGGGTGATTTTGAAAAAGCCTTCTTAGAGTAGCTTTTTCTGCACAACTCATCATTTCTGCCCATTGAAACTACATGCCAACCATCAAAACAATGCCAGGACACTTCGTTTTTCTATCCCCCACCCTACCCTGGTGCACACCCCTAACCCAGATATAGGACTATACTTCCATTGAACAGACGGCGATTTTGAAAAAGTCCTCCTTGAGTAGATTTTTCTGCACAGCTCACCATTTCTGCCCCTTCAAAACACATTCCAACCAGCAAAATCATGCCCGGACACCTTATTTTTCCAACCCTGGCCACCGTTCCATTGAAAGAGGATGATTCTGAAAAAGCCTTCCTTGGCTAGCTTTTTCTGCACAGCTCAACATTTCTGCGTCTTATAAACAAACTCTAACCATTAAAATCTTACCAAGACACCTCGTTTTTCTAATCCTAACCCTACCCTGGTGCACACCCCTAAGCCTAATATAGGGCTACACTTCCACTGAAAAGAGGGCGATTTTGAAAAAGCCTTCCTTGAGTAGCTTTTTCTGCACAGCTCAACATTTCTGCCCCTTAAAAAAAATTAAAAAACCCATCAAAATCATGCCAGGACACCTCCTTTTTCCAACCCTAACCCTACCCTGGTGCACACCCCTAACCCTAATATTAGGGTTCAGTTCCTCTGAAAATAGGACGATTATGAAATAGCCTTCGTTGAGTAGCTTTTTCTTCACTGCTCAGCATTTCTGCCCTTCTAAAAACATTCCAACCATCAAAATCATGCCAAGACACTTTGTTTTTCTAACTCTAACCCAGTGATGGTGAACCTTTCAGAGTCCGAGTGCCCATATTGCAACCCAAACCTACTTATTTATCGCAAAGTGCCAACACTGCACTAACACCTAAAAACTAAGGTTTTAGTTTAGAAAAAAACAACACAGTCAGTCCAAGCATATATATATTTTTTTTTTCTTGGCAGCACACCGACCACCCATACGAAAGCTCAGACGAGTTGCAGCTAATGAGTCACGGCTTGTGGCATCATCCTCTGACACCGCTACTCCTTTCCGAGCATGCGCATCGCCCCTACTTGCGCTGTTTTCCGATGCTCGGCTGCTGGGTGATGCTGGGGCTATTTGTGCCGACAGAGAATGCCGCGTGCCGACAGAGAGTGCTCTGCATGTCCACTGTGGCACGTGTGCCATAGGTTCACCACCACTGCTCTAGTGTATTACAAATAAATAAAATATTTCAACTTAAAGGTCTTACTCTCAATAACTTAGTGAAACATTTCAACCTTCCAGAACAAGAAAAAAACTGAAAAAGCTACCAACTCACCAAACAACGAGCAGACAAATCTAAATTTGTGAATGGGGAGGAAGCACTGGAATGGGATCTCAAGACAGTCAGATCCCCCTTGAAGGATTGGTCGCGAACCAGGTCAAATTTCCCACAAGTTTCAATGCAAATAAGGTTAATTCATTCTGTAAATATTTTATTAATCGCATAATTTGAAACAAAGTAACAAAGAACAACAAAGTACCAAAGTACAATACAGTAGAGAACACAATAATCTACACTGGGGGGGGAGGTTATTGTTTGGAGGGAGAGAACCCTCCATAATGACATTGGGGAGATCTCTTTCAGTTTCCTCTCTTCTTTGCCTCTTAGCTGCAGAGTCAATTTTGGCAAAAAACCTGCACGTTCTGGTCACCTTCATTACCGCTCTGCACATTCTTTTTACCACCATGCTTGCTCTGCACTTTCTTTGGAGCCATCATTCAATATAATTATTGAATAATACTTTACAGTACTGTATGTGCTAACAAGCACACAAAAAAGCTTCACAGCAAGTGACCACAGGTCTGTCTGTGGCCGCGAGCAGGGAAGATGGCCGCAATCCTGTTTGTGTGGGAACATGGCCGCGATCGTGGTCATTACCCGATGCGGAGTTCACGAATGGAGGCAAAAAATTTTATTTATTGTTCTATTTATATCCTGCCTTTTTCCTACAAAGGGCTCAAGGCAGCTTACATCATTCTTCTCCTCCATCTTATCCCCACAACAACAACCCTGTGAGGTAGGTTGGGCTGAGAGTCTGTGACTGGCCCGAAGTCACCCAGTTGGCTCCATGGCTGAACGGGCACTAGAACCCAGATCGTCTGAGTCCCAGTCCCATGCTTTTAACCACTACACCACACTGGCTCTCTTTTTTTTCTGAAATTTTTGTTCATGAACCATTTGGTCATGAACTGAGACGTTCATGAACTGAGGTACCACTATATGTGGCCTAGTACTTAACAGCCATGTGTTGCAACCCTAGAAATGTGTGAACAGAAACACAGATGCAAAAGGAAAACGAAACATATTTGAATGGTCAGGTTTCCATGTTATACTAAGTCAAGCTGAAAATAAGGGGTTTGTCATTCACTGAATAAGAAGCGCATTACAACTGCACGTGTCATGGCTGCACTTGTCCACCCCTTACTCACTGGTCCTCCAAGCAGATCTGGTATGTATCATAGTGTCCTCCATGACACGACTCATCTTGTCTCCCTCTGCCCTCTCCAGTTGTAATGCCTTTTCATTCACTACACTTAGTCCCCCAGTTACAAATGCCCAAGTTAAGAACAGCCCCCACTTACAAACAAGCAACTCTGATGTCCTGCCCCATCCTCAAACAGCAAGTGGGCACCCACGGGCTCCGGGCGCTGGGGAGAGGATGGAAGAAAGAAGAAGGGACAAATAAGAAAGGATGAAGGGAAGAAAGGAGAGAAAGGGAAGGAGGGAGGGGACGTGACGAGCGGCAAAGTCAGAACAAGTTCTGCTATGTGGCAGTACTACAGTAGCTTTTCATGCTCATGCCAGTGTATTTTGGAACAGTGGACTTGGTGTTGCCTTCCGTAAGCTTGTACTCTATCTTGTTTGTAACCATGCCTCTAAAGCATAAATCTGATGCAATTGCAGGTGAAGCACTGAAGAGAAGAAAAGAAAAACAATCACAATCAAAAACGGAAATAATAAAGCAATCAGAGAAAGGTGGAACACCATTGGTCACTGAGGAAAGCATTAGGCTTTAGTCACTGAACAATCAGATTCTCTCTTTCTCTCTTCAGTACCTGTAGTTACTTACTTATAACTGCATTGTTATCATTATTAAAATGCTGTATCGTGTTTAAGATGCTTTAATGTACATGAAAGTGTTTCTTAAGTGTTTTATATCCTTTTTATATAAGTGATCTGACTTACAAACCTATTCACCTTAAAGACAATCTCAGGAATGGAACTTGTTATTATTATTTCTGGTATGCAAATGTGATATTAATTTTTAAAAATATTCCCCCCATTCTTGCACAAGTGTGCAAGACTGTGTTTTTCTCTGTCCAGTATGGGGTCCATGTCCTTGCATCTTGCAGCTCTCAAATGGACTGCTGAAGCAGACTGTGTAACAGACAAAAAAAATGACAAGATGAATCTTCATACAGGCTAATCTGTGCGTGGTTGCAAAGGACCAATAGTAAGAGAAAGGAGGAACCCAGCAGTGAAATACCAAGAATGTGGGGGCAGGGGAGGGGACAAGATGGAGATGAGCAGAGCAAGCACATCAAAAAGCAGGGGGACAGTATCTTCCACAATGTAAGTCTCTGCCTTTTAAAGGCTGAACTGACACTTCTTAGTGTCCTCCACTAATTTTTTTCAATAATTCATAAAGCTCTATTACTTGAGAAATAGGATTTATCAATTCCCTCACTTCCTTTTTACAGCTCCCTTCTGGAGTATTTACTGTCGGTGTGCAGACTCCCTGTCCATTTACTCCCAGACCCAAATTTGTACAAATTTCCCTTCCGTTAACTTCCCAGCCTTTAAATTTGTGCAACTATTCCTGGCAATTTAAAAATATGTACACATGTATCCCTCATGAAAAGCTTATGCTGTGTACACAATACACCTCCTGCTGGTATGGTACTCTGAGTGTAGGAGTATTTGTCATAGCTCAGCCGTTCCAGACAGACAACTGCCAGCTAAGACTGATAGTGGCTCCCCCCTCCCAAAAAAAAAGGATGGGGGACCCAGTAAGATGGTCCACCCCCAGCAGCTAAATGAACCCAGACAGTTCCCCAGAGAGCTCTGGGGAACTTTTCAGAGCTAGTGGCTAATAGTTCTGCTGAAGCCCCAGCTGAGCTGTGGGACAGAGAAATAACCCAGCTGGTTGACTCCTAAGCATCCTCTCAGGGGCAGAGCTTGCTCAGCTCTATGCATACGCTGGAGCTCAGAGCAACGAAACAAAGCAGGACATGGCCTGAGTACGCTGGAGCAACACTCCTCCTGGATGCTATCAAGCCGCCCGGTATGTGCCTATCATTGAATATTTTTGGAGGCAGTGATGGAGGAAAGAAACACTGTCCCACGGCCTATATTCAATCCTCCCTTTGCGGCTCAGCATAGTTCTTTAGCGTCATCCAGGGCCTATTACACACGGAAGCTAAGGCTTGCTACAAAATGTTTGCTAGGCATCCAAGAATAAAACCTCCTGCATCTGCTGGGATTTGTTCTCACAGTGGAGTCAGGCAAAATATCAGAGCACAGCCTGGTCAAGTTTTACTGGATGACTGTCAGGTGGCACAGCTTGAGGATGTTAACAAGGTGCTTGGCCAGGTTAATACAACTACCTTTGTACTGAATCCTTGTCCCTCCTTGCCTATGAAAGCCAGCCAGGAAGGAACAACAAACTAGGTCAGGGAGGTGACTAATGGCTCCATGTGAGAGGGAGTGCTATCAAGCTTCCTGAAACAGGCAGTGGTAAGAACTTTTCTGAAGAAATCCTCCCTCCCAAGAAGACTCTAATAACTTTTAGGCTGGTAACAAATATTCCTTTTCTAGCCAAGGTTCTTGAGTTGCTAGCCAACTCCAAAAACTGTTGGACGAGACTTATCTGCATCTATTTAAGTTGGGGTTCAGGCTTAGTTTAAGCATGGAAATAGCTTTGCACACCCTGGAGTATGACCTTTGACAGAAGAGACAAGGGAGTGTGATCCTACTGGTACTCGAGGACCCCTCAACAACTTTAAATAATCAACCATGTTATCCCTCCAGGTGACTTTTTGAGTTTGGAGCAGTTTGGAACAGTATGAAGTTTAAAACTGTTTTTTTTTTTTAATAAAATGCTTTTTGAGAAAAAAAAACTATTGAAAGATCTATTTAAGATACATTATAGTCCAAATGTTATTTATCATGAAATAAGGCTTTGTTCTTAATTATGTTGCACGAGGCTGTATATTCATGCAGTGGTCAATGTCTTTGGTAAATAAATTCCAGTAATCCGTTCACAGTCATGCTCTTCCAGAGATTTCTGTAAGATTACTGGGCAATTTTTCTCTCTCGCAGATATTATCAGAGATGCTTGGTTTTACAGTTCTCAAAACTGTAAATTTGTGTCTTCAGAGATCACACGCCCCTTCTTCATAGCAAAAAATGTTCTAAAATAAACATACAGAGTTGAGAAAAAGACCATAATCTATATTTCCTTTGCTAATCTATGTACACTGAATACACTGAATCAACCCCTTACCTCTTAAGTTTCAAAAAATGCATTGAATAGAAGAAGATTGCTGGGAGTGAAATAGATCTGCACGAGAAGCTAAGTGCGAGGAGGGAGCTGTAGTTAAAACGAATGTGAAACCTTTTCAGCGGAATAGTCCACAAGTCCTGCTGCTGGCTGCTTGCCAGCACACCATCTGCTGCCAGGATTGGCAGGCTGTGCTCCACTCCCCTCACCTCACCTGACTCCCTTCCTCACCTGTAGCTGCTGAGTGATAAATGGCAGCAAAGAGTGGG